AAGGTCTTACAGCCCTCCATTGCTATTGGCTTTATTAGGAGTCAGGGTGAATAAAAATCAATGATTTAAAAAAAAAAAGGATTTTTAAAAATTTAAATCGGGTTTTTAGATAAAATGCTTGTTGAGGAAAAACCCTATGTAAAGAGAGTTTTAATTAAGGTACACCATAGCTCAAAGATATCTCATCATGGAAAAGGGATGATAAATTCTAATTCTCATTCATGTAATGTTTTTAAGAAAAGTTTTGTAAATGAGTTCCAATAGTTCATGGATTAGGAACCTAATAGTATGGGGCTCCAGAGGCTTCTGTATAAATTATTTAGGTTAATCTTTCTATCTACCCAGTGGGATTCAGTGCTCAGTCTAGAAGATGCCATCAGAGATGCTTAGTTTTACAGTTCTCAGACTGTGGATTTGTGTTTCCAGATATGTGTTGCCAGCTGCTCTTTCAAGTGTCAGTCTCTTAATTGCGAAGGAGAGCCAGGAACGCTAAAAAAGCAGCTGGAAACCAGGAGGAGTCAACCTCAAAGAATCAGGAACCTCTTTCAAGGATTGGAGTGCCTAGCCACCAATGAGAGAGGAATGTTCTGGGGGAAAAGGGATGCAGCTGGCTAGTGCAAGAGAAGAGCAGAGGGAGAGAGTAGGAAGGGGAGATAATGTGAAGAGCAAAAAGCAAAAGAGTGTGATTAACCTTCCTAAAGGACAAAACACTTAGTTATAAACAGATTGAAAGTATTTTCCTAATATCCTTTTTCTGTGTCATCAATTCCATTAGTTGGCAAAGTGAGTTGTATTATGGCTGTGCATGTGTCCATAAGGCAATTTCACTATTAAGATGAGACTTCAGGGGGTAGCCAAATTAGTCTGTTACAGGAAAAAAAACAACAAATGGTCTGGTAGCACTTTATAGCCCACTTCTTCAGATGACCGGAGTTATGAGTTTGGGATGTGTACACCCAAAATAAATAGGAGAGGGGAAGGGGCTCCCTCCCTTTTTCTTCCCTACCCCCTCCCCTTCCCCTCTCCTATTTATTTTGGGTGTACACATCCCAAACTCATAACTCCGGTCATCTGAAGAAGTGGGCTATAAAGTGCTACCAGACCATTTGTTGTTTTTTTTCCTGTAACAGACTAATTTGGCTACCCCCTGAAGTCTCATCTTAATAGTGAAATTGCCTTATGGACACATGCACAGCCATAATACAACTCACTTTGCCAACTAATGGAATTGATGACACAGAAAAAGGATATTAGGAAAATACTTTCAATCTGTTTATAACTAAGTGTTTTGTCCTTTAGGAAGGTTAATCACACTCTTTTGCTTTTTGCTCTTCACATTATCTCCCCTTCCTACTCTCTCCCTCTGCTCTTCTCTTGCACTAGCCAGCTGCATCCCTTTTCCCCCAGAACATTCCTCTCTCATTGGTGGCTAGGCACTCCAATCCTTGAAAGAGGTTCCTGATTCTTTGAGGTTGACTCCTCCTGGTTTCCAGCTGCTTTTTTAGCGTTCCTGGCTCTCCTTCGCAATTAAGAGACTGACACTTGAAAGAGCAGCTGGCAACACATATCTGGAAACACAAATCCACAGTCTGAGAACTGTAAAACTAAGCATCTCTGATGGCATCTTCTAGACTGAGCACTGAATCCCACTGGGTAGATAGAAAGATTAACCTAAATAATTTATACAGAAGCCTCTGGAGCCCCATACTATTAGGTTCCTAATCCATGAACTATTGGAACTCATTTACAAAACTTTTCTTAAAAACATTACATGAATGAGAATTAGAATTTATCATCCCTTTTCCATGATGAGATATCTTTGAGCTATGGTGTACCTTAATTAAAACTCTCTTTACATAGGGTTTTTCCTCAACAAGCATTTTATCTAAAAACCCGATTTAAATTTTTAAAAATCCTTTTTTTTTTTAAATCATTGATTTTTATTCACCCTGACTCCTAATAAAGCCAATAGCAATGGAGGGCTGTAAGACCTTTGCATACCTCTGAAGATTTATACATTTTTTTCCTCTAGTTAATGAAGTTTATATTTATCTTTGCTAAAACGGCAAAATCCAATATATGAACAGCACATCACATGCTGAAGGAAAGAGGCATTTGTTACATTACTGACCTTTGGTACACAGGAATTTGAAATGAAAGACATTAAAAAAAAAGCTGTGCACGGTGGCTAACTACACACATATCAGCATTAGGACACTCTCTCCCAAATGTCAACTAAGCAATCAAATTTACACACCATTTATCCATTTCTTGCTATCTAACTGCTCTTCTATTCTCCCAAGACTGTCCTGGGCACTGACATTACATTTTACCTCGTAACATTAAATGTCACGAGGTAAAAAAAATGGAGTCTGGAAGCCTTTCGTTGAGGGCAAAGCAGATTATTTATTTTACTATGTATCTTGTTTGGTTACTGAAAAACAGTGGAGTAACTGAAGATACAGGACAGATCTTTACAGACCAGGCTTACATACCCTGTTGGCCAGGGATGGGTGGCTGAAGCCATTATTACCATCAGTTTGTATTGGTTTCTATAATGAAATATATTCAGAACTCAATTTTGCTTCATAAATGGCTGCAGAGAACATTTCTCAGGGATAAAGGACTTCTCCCCCTGGCATTTCAGCACACATTATTTTCAAAAGTAACAGATATTAAAATAGATATATATTAAAAATTCACTCTTGACTAAAGTGAATTTCCTCTCTGTTTTATTCTAGCCTCATCTGTTCCTAGGTGAATTCAGCGTTTCAGACCAAGGACTTCAATTTCCAACACTGACAATAATTTATCCAGAGAAAAAGCTGCAGCGCTTCCCAGATAGTGTCCTTCCCCCAACAAATTGCCTCAACCCAGGCCTCAAGGGACTGCTCTGAGAGGTGAAAAGGTAATTCAGGGCTAGATCCTGTTATTCTTACACAATCAGAATTCTCCTTGGCCTCACTGAGTTGTGCCTAATGGAGGACAGCAGGATTGGTCTTTCAGCCTACATGCTCCTGGAGTCCCCTACCCCTTTGTTCAAGGTGCTCAGCACTTTGTTTTCAGAAATTGTCCTGTGTCCTTTTATTTAAGATGTTTCCTTCACAAAGGGATTAACCTTAGCAAATATAAGAGCTGGAGGAAGAAAAACAACAGATTGATAGGAAATGAGGGTGTTTAGTGCAGCAAAACTCCTCTACTAACTCATCACTCCTTCAATGGGAAAATTGACCCCACATAACACATTTTCACTTAGCACAATCATTTTCTGAAATGTATCTACCATGTTAAATGAGGAATTACTGTATCCAGTTTAACTGAGATGTGAACTTAATGTTATTTTTCACAGTTGCACTATGCATCTGTACATTACAGTGAAATATGTGCAGGTGGCTGAAGATAGCAAGTATTAAGAACATAGGCTTCTCAGTGATGAGAAGGGTAGGGGGACATGAACAGCTAGTAGATCTAGAAGGGGATATGCAATAAGAAAAGTTTGAGAACCTATGCCCTAGAGACTAAGGGCTTGTCTACACTATTTTTTTTTTACTGTTGGTATATAACCTAGGGCCTGGTATACACGTAGATTTTGTACTGGTATATTTATTTATAACACCCCTTGCCCCAACTGAAATAATTATACTGGTATAAATTGCAGTCCTGTGGCACCTTAGAAACTAACAAATATATTACCTCATGAGCTTTCATGGCTAAAACCCACTTCACAAAAGTTCATGATAGAATACATTTTTTAGTCTCTAAGGTGCCACAGGACTGTTTGTTGTTTTTAAAGTTACAGACTAACACAGCTACTCCTCTGAGACTAGTATAAATTTTGTTTATCTACAAAACAGGTATAGAAATGGCAGAAGTGCAAGTTTCTTGAGAACATAATTTAACTCTGACAGAGAGGGATCACACATAGGGGTGAAAAGTTAGTTCAAATTCCACAGCCAGCCAATTCCCTTGATACTACTGTAAAAGAGATAAAAAATAATAGTATAGACCTGATGCAGGTTCTTTTATCTCCATGTTGCCTAGACTGTCACAGATCAGGTCTAGATAACATGGTAAAAAACAGCCATGCCTTGTAACTCTCCCGCTATTGGACCCAGTGGTGAGAGATTCCCCCAGAATAGCTGCTGTAGACAAGGGCATTAAATGATTCCTACCCTTTGATGCCAAAGGCGCAGGGTAATACATCTCATTCCCAGTTTCTACACATGATCTTTTAATTTAAAGGTCAGGCTAATTGTGGTTTAACTCCTTCACACATACTCCCAAGAAAACAGACAGGAACAAAGAACCCCATCATCAACTAAGGCAGGGGAGGGCAATAATTTTTACAGGGGTACTTAATGAATTTTGGTACATGAGAATTACTATTACCAATTGGAATAATGACATCTTTTCTAAATATGTGGATACTTGACTTCTAAGACCTGGATAAAACCCAAACAATCCAAAGTTTACTAATGAGCTATGAAGAAGCTACCTGAAAGTTACAGGTGAAAAAGGGATACAATCATTTATTCATTTCAGTTATAATAAGATTAGGGCCATGGGTTAAATGTATGTTTACTATATTTTAATTTAAGTTTAATTAAGTTTCCATGTGTCATGTCCAATCCTCAGCCCTCAATTACACAAAGAAAAACTTTCGTCCTTTGAGGGCTATCCATAGCGATTCTATGGAACATGTTGATTCACTTAATATTTTTATTTCATTTGATTCTACATTATCTTTCACATACAGTGCCACTCCGCCACCCACCCGGCCTGCTCTATCCTTTCTATATATTTTATTTGTTTTTTTTTATTATGATCAGGTCCATGTAGGACAGTTTTTTAGAGCCATGGCTTAGGGAATAAAGATTACATTCTGTAGCATTAGTCTAGTAGCGCAGTAGTACAGGAGAGAGTCTCCTTCAGCCCAACAGGAAATCTAATTTGATCATTTCTAACCACTTGGATGTTTTGTTTTTGTTTTGTATCCACAGCTTGCTCCATCCCTTCCATTGCAAGAAGATTTTGTTTACCACTGGAAAGCAATTACCCATTATTACATAGAAACCTCAGGTAAGTGGGGTTTTTTGTGGGGGGGGGGGTTAAATCTTCACTATCGAAAGAGGCAAACTACCACTACCTCAGTGTTGTTTAAAAGGGAAGATTGGGAAATAGCTAAACTGTTTGCATTAAGCAAGTTCTTCTTTGTTTTTCCAAACTAACAAAAAACAGTTGTTTTAAAATATCCTTTATCTTTGATGTACCCTTGACAAAGTACCTTGGTAGACACAGGGTGAACAACAGTGGATGTAATGCCTTATTTTCTGTGCACCATGTTGAGAATTTTACCTTTTAATGTCATACCTAATTTCTGACTTCACCTTTTTGGTTCACATTAAACAGACATCTGCATGACCTTTCTCATTTCTGTTGCATTGCCTGTTTTCCTTTCCTTTCTCAGGTTTTACCATAAACCTTCATAAAATAACTTTGCCATCATATACACATGAATAAACATTTCTGAAGTGAGCCATGCTTAATGTAGATCACATTTCCACTGTTCCTACACTTGTTTAAAACAAATACATAAATAATTATCCTTTTAATCATTGCTCCAAGTCGGTTGTCCTTAAAGACAAATATTACCATGCCCTATGTACTTTTATCTTTGCATACCAATTGGAGTGGCTATTAAATGTTGTGTTCACATCCTCAGGACTTCTGATTTCTTGTTTAAATCCCTGTGTACTGTTAAGAGCTGAAACTTGAGACCTCTGGCCTTGGACATGCTTTGTGGTGCTACCTAGGATGAAACTGACAAGACGTTATGTAGAAACTGACACATAAGCATGTGTGGTGCAAAATAAAAAGAAATTAATCTTTGGCTGCTGTAATAAGTATTTATCTGCAAAAAAACAAGCTTCCATTCTTGCTTCTGCCTTTCCCCAAATGAAAATCTGCAAAAAGATCTTGAAAACAATGCATATGGAATGATACCTTTGAAGTCAGCGGGAAGTTTACCTTTGACTTTAATGGGAGCAGCTAATTGGTGTCAAGAGAGAGAACTGAAATCGCTGAAATGTGGCAATTTTTTTCTGTGACCTTGTTTCCTTTTGCATTCAGATAACCATTATTTTTAGATTATTGCATAAGAAGAAATGACTAATTCCACAGTGTAGATTGTCCAATTAAAATATGGCAAATAAAAATGTATTTCTAATTTCCTAGGAACACATAAGTGACATGCAGCCTTTTGGGCTAATGCCTGTTCTCAGTTACTTTGGTGCAAATTCAAAGTAACTCCATGTCCATCAGTGTAACTAACATCAGAATTTGTCTCCTTTCTAGATATAGATCTATGAGCTGAATTGTACTCTGAAATTTGAGTTAAACTATACACAGTTTTTACCAAAATGATGTAACAATCATACTTAAGAATTTTTTTTAATGAACTGAGCTGGAAATTTGTGTATACATTTTTTGTAAAGTTATTTTTTTTTAATAAAAGAGAAGCTTTTCTCACACATTTTTGAAGGAATTGATCAAGTGTAAAAGAAGTAGATTCTAGTTGCTCTCCCTGGATTCCACTCTTGGATTGTTTTTGGGCCATCTGGCTAATGATTGTGTCAGAAATGTAGTATTCCGCACTTTTTCACATGAAAATCAAACTTCTCTATAATGTGTATAGTATATTACACTTTCAAAAGGGACCAGTAATTCTTGGTGTCCAATTTGAGGTTCCTTAAAGAGACATGATTTTCAGAGGCATGTGCTCAGCTCTTCAGAAAAATCAGGCCTAGGATGTCTCAAATTAGGCACCCACAATTTTTATTTCCCTTCTGAAAATTTGGACCAGCATATTTCTGTAGATGTAAAAATCCAGTTTAGTTTCAGCTTATTGACAATTTTTTCAGAAGGTTATTTATAGTTTTTTAGAATAGTTAATATAGTGGCTATATTTTAAACAAAAAGTTTATAACTGAACTTGATGGAAAATGCAAATTATGGGTTTTTTTCATCATTTTAATAGAATATTTTTATTTAGATGACAAAGCTCCTGTGACTGATACCAACATTCCTTCTCACCTGGAGCAGATGTTGGATATCCTAGTTCAAGAGGAAAATGAGAGGGAGTCGGGAGAGACAGGGCCTTGTATGGAATATTTGCTACATCACAAGATCTTGGAGACATTGTACACTCTAGGGAAAGCTGATGTAAGTATATCTTAGGCAGTATGCAAAAGGTATTCATCTTTTGAGGTACAGGCAGTCCCCGGGTTACGTACAAGATAGGGACTGTAGGTTTGTTCTTAAGTTGAATCTGTATGTAAGTCGGAACTGGCGTCCAGATTCAGCCACTGCTGAAACTGACCAGCGGCTGACTACAGACATTGTACACTCTAGGGAAAGCTGATGTAAGTATATCTTAGGCAGTATGCAAAAGGTATTCATCTTTTGAGGTACAGGCAGTCCCCGGGTTACGTACAAGATAGGGACTGTAGGTTTGTTCTTAAGTTGAATCTGTATGTAAGTCGGAACTGGCGTCCAGATTCAGCCACTGCTGAAACTGACCAGCGGCTGACTAC